ACCTTGCTTGGCATGTTTTTTCCTTCAGACGGAGGTATGCCCAGATCAGCTATGAATTTAACACCTAGCTGTTGCCCTGATTTAATCAGTTCATCAAGTAAATCAGATCGAACGCTGATTATTTTGGAACTATAAATATAGTTAAGAATTTCTGCAAAAATTTCTGCTCTTACAAAGCTCAGTTCAACCACTTGCCCAGCCACTGAGAAAAGCTGGTGAAAATATGTGCTTGAGGCTGAAAGGATGTTTCTGTGAGCTCGAAATTTCCGATCCTCTACAATGACAGTAACATCACAAAAAAGTCCGTGGCCACGCTGTTCATTCAAAGACTGAAGGAGCACACTAGAATACTGCGTGTCTGTTGCAGAAATCACTTTTTTCCCCTCCATTCCTACAAAGAGAAAGTGAAATGCATCGAATTAGTAAAAATACAGAGTTATGGTTTTAACTGCATGACAACGTTCCCACGTTTACTGTTTATTCCTTCTTTTGTAAAAACAAATCTGAGATACTATTCATAAGCTTATATGCTATAGCAGTCTTGCAGATTTGTTTCCTATTGTTATTTGTCCCCTCACCTTCTACACAAGGGCTGTGTAATTCTGAATATACCCTCTATTCTTACAGGGTGAGGGACAGAGAAACAACTGCTTATCTGATTCAACAGCAAATAAGGTAAATTTGAAAACCAAGAAGATGTACGATTTGGGTCCCTCAAAAGATTTCTTTTAATTGTGAAAATATTCCATGAATTGTTATGAGAAAGCCCGGTAACATCCAGGTTGTTTATGGGCGAAAACAAAACCTGTCCATCCGTGTATTACCAGTCAACTGAGGTTAATGAAAATGCTATTGATACTTCACTTTCTTGCCCGGAAAAAGAAACTTTTTTTCCCCCTCACCTCATATATTTGCAAGGTTGCTTTGTGTTTGAAACCCAGGCACCGAGGCAGCACGGTAACAAACAATATCTGTAAAGCCAAACGAATCCATCGATCGGCACTTCCGATTCGATACCCCGCAACGAGATGCAAAAAAAAGAAAAAGAGAACAACATGGAAATGTAAGAGCGGCGAGGGAGAGGCTGCAAGCCCCCACTCTGCGGGCAGGGCGGGACGGGATGAGGAGGCCGGGACCCCCCGCCCGGCCCGCGGGCCGCCAGCCGCGGGCGGCCCCCGCCCCCCCCCGCGCCC